GGAACCTAAGGTGAGAAATCTCTTATGGTCTCTTATGATTTAAGGAGCTCACAAGGTGGTTGTGGAAAGGATGTGACAGCAGAGTTCCTGGCCCTAGCTGGAGTTCCTATTGGCTCACTGTTATCTATGCTCAGGGCATTCAATCCAGAAGTCGTTATCGGGGGTCCTTTATGGAGCTGGTTTTAGTTTCCATCATAACCACAGGGAAACTGGGGGCAGGGTGACTGGTCAAATGCTGACCTGGTGGCTATTCAAGTTTTGAAGGTTTGGAGCTGAGTCTACTTAGGCACCAAAGTGGCATACGTAAGTGGTAGCTCACACTGGTGTGGCTCCCATCCAAGTGACTCCAAACAGCCAGACAGCATGGTCTGTGCTAGGGTTGGATGGGAGAGTGGGAGCTGGCCACACCTCTGGTCACCAGGGATGATGGTGAGGTGGTGGTGGTGTGCTATGCCATGCCATGGGGTCGGTTTTTTACTCATAGTGACCCTGCATAGGGTTTCAGAGGCTGTAAATCTTTATGGGAGCAGAAAGACTTATCTTTCTCCCATGGAACAGCTGGTAGTTTTGACCTGCTGACTTGAGGTCAACTCATAACCACTACACTACCAGACCTCCTGATCACCAGGAGAGAATGGGGGAAAAGAAGAAATTGCAGCTTTCCCATCACCTGCACAAATATGTTCTGCCAGGCCTCCCTCCACCACCAAAGCTGCTCACAAGAAGGTGAAGCTGCAACTGGCGACCTGTTCAGCAGTCAGTCTCCCTCTCTCACCATCCCTGCTCAGCCTCTTCTCCCCACAAGCACTCCATCCACCTCTCTAACCTTTCTACTGAAGTTCAGGGTGCCAGAATTTTTATCTATGTCTTTTTTCCTTTGTCTTTTCTATCTTTGCTATAGAGGGTCCATGTAGTGTGTCTGCCTAGTCCACCATCTTGCCAGAAACTCCCCGTTTATATATTTCCTGATGAAGTCAAGTCAACAAATTTTTTGAGCTTCTGACCTCATAATACTATGCTATACACCCTGGATTTTATGGTGGAAGGGACTTCTAAGGGGCTTGCATATGTCAAATATCTTAAAGAACATCGTTCCCAATTGGAATCCATTAATTCATGATACTCATTTAAATAATACATAAACCCATAATAATTTTGAATTGTGGGGACTAAGGTTCATCTAGGATTCCTTGTGTGGTGCTGTGGGATAAAGCACTGGACCACAAGGTCAGTTTGAACTCCAAGGTTGATGGTCCA